TTAGATCCGGTATCAGCAAGTACAACATATGAACCATCTTTCACAATGGTCCCTCTAACTTCAATCACAAATCTTGGCTTATTTAGTAACGCAATATGCCCATCATTGCTAATGATCCACCCCTGGTTATCTGCCTTAATAGGATTTTTACGACTTCTTTTCAAATGGAGACAACTTCCTGCACATACTATAGGTGATTATAAATATGCTTATATTAATGTTTTGTCAAATTTACCGATAGGGAAGTTTCAGACAAATGATCATTTATATACATTTTATATCTTTCCGGCACTTTTTTTTAATCTTGATGAATGCGATGAAAGATAATTCATAAAAAAAATTATTTCAAAAGAAATGTTTTCATCATTTATTTAAATCATAAAGATAAACCTACCTGACTCAGCTTCCAAACATGAGGCTGATAATTTGTTGATTATAAAACCATTTTTATAGTACCAAAGCTGATAACCATCATCTTCACTTTTTTGATGAGCAACGATAGCTTTTGTTCCATCTTTAACGTCAATGACTAAATTTTTAATAGAGGCAATAGAGGTGGAAGGTGAAGCTGCTGATTTTATGTAAAAGTCACCTTTAGGGAACTGACTAGTCATTATCACAAAAATTATTGCAACAAAAAAAACACGCAGTGCATTAGAAATATTTAATCTATAGAAAAACGAAATTTTGGTTTAAGGGTTAAAATAATTATTTTTTATATGAGTGATAGGTCAATCTTATCCAATTACATATAATCTCAGAAATCGCAATTAAAGTTAAGAAGTACGTACCATTTGTGATACATATTAATGCTAATAAAATAGTCTAAACTATCGAGTTCGTTTTAGCATATTTGCGTGATCTAAATGCATAAAATGTAAATTATGTATGACGGTATAGTTACAACCTGCTTTTTAATGTTTGTGATCTAAATATGTATGTGTCGTGCCTGAAGTTGGCACCCGACTAAAGTTGGCAGTTTTAGGCAGGTGCCAACTTCAGTTCCAACTAGTGATGCAACCCAAACTATTTGGGACATCCCAAACCATGCGATAATTAGTATAACATACAGACCCATGTAGCGGAACATATAATTAGAGTATGGATATGAAAATTAGTAATAGAAAAAAAACCAGCCGAAACTAATACTATACGTACTGATTATCACATAGTTTGGGACGGCACAAATAGTTTGGGTTACATTTATAGTTCCAACTTCAGGCAA